GAAGGAGACCAAGAAAATTATATCCAAGAAACTAAATTTAGCATCGAAATACACAAGAATGTGCATTTATTGTTTATATAGTAGATAATGGCCTTTCTTACAATTAAACATCTTTGAAGTTATCTGACCAGTTTGGATTGGCAACTATTTTCTCTCTAGCCCTAGGCAAAGAGAACAGCAGTAGTTAATGTGAATACCAAAATTCTTCCTGTATTAAGCTCATTAAAAGATCTAAATTTCTATTAATGTCCAGGGAAACAAGGCTAGAAATCATCTGCAATGCTAATAGGAGCTATGAATTTAAATTTCCATTGAAGTAATAAGGCCAGGTGGTTTAAACACTGGCAAAACTCGGTGGTGAGGGCAACTGAAAGGCATTCGCTTTAGAACCATGTTGAAACGTGTAATATTTATTAAACATCTTCTTGTGCATAAAATCATTCTGGGTCCTCACAGATATGCAAAGTTGAGTGAAGCACTTGATCTTGTTTTTCAGATGAGTTGTCATTTAAATAAGACACCATAGCCAAGATAATACATTTTATAAAATGCTAATGGGAAGGAAAAAGCGATATTGTTCACACAGAGACATGTCTGTACAAAGCATGGAAAGATGTACTTAGCAACCGAGAACAGGAGAGAAGCCATAGGAAAGAAGAGAATAAGCAACAGGGGGCCAGAGCGAAATTTCTACCAATTAGTAGTATATGTAAACAAATCTCTTAGTCTAGTAAAAACCTCAGCTGCCGTTCATGGCTTTTATGATATGCCAAGCACCATTTAAAATACATCCATATCAATTTACTTAGTCCTTGTAGCAACCAATAAGGTGGGAGATACTTTTCGTGCCTGTATCACATTCAACCCACCTACCTGTTTTCAGTGCGCTCTGCCAACACCTCCCCACAAATGCATTTTATGCTGACTGTGCCTTTCTACCTTTCAGATTGTCCCTAATGCCTGAGAAAACCAATCTGCTTGTATGTGGATGGAGTTGGGGAGCAGTCCTCAACCCATGCGGGACAGGAGCCAATGGATAAATATCTTGGCTCTCCTCTTTTTGGAGGGATCACTTTGAGATGCATTCTGTGTGGCTCCTTGGGCAAGCCCCAGGGTCATGGGTGGAACTGTAGATGTCCGGCACAGAAACTAGCTCACAGATGCAGCTTTCATTGCCTTCTTCCCTTCCTGTTTCATTATCTTTCCTTCCTCACTCTGCTTTCTGTAATCTCCTCCCTATAAACTCACTGCAACCAAATCCATTTCTCAGGCAGGTTTTGTGAATACGTATTTTATTTTAGTTAAGAATAAATATATATCTTTCCAGCCCCTTCTTGCCTGTAGGTCTCTTTTGAGAAATCAGCTGACAGTCTGATGGGAACTCCTTTGTAGGTGACTGTCCCCTTATCTCTTGCTGCTTCTAGGATTCTCTCCTTCATTTTAATCTTGGCTAATGTAATTATGATGTGCCTTGGTGTGTTTCTTCTTGGGTCCAACTTCTTTGGGACTCTCTGAGCTTCCTCGATTTCCTGGAAGTCTATTTCCTTTGCCAGATTGGGGAAGTTCTCCTTTATTATTTGTTCAAATAAGTTTTCCACTCATGGCTGTTCTTCTTCCCCTTCTGGTACCCCTATAATTCGGATGTTGGAATGTTTGAAGATGTCCTGGAGGTTCCTAAGCCTCTCCTCATTTTTTTGAATTCTTGTTTCTTCATCTTTTTCTGTTTGGTCATTTTTTTCCTTCTTCTGGTCCACTCCTTTGATCTGAGTCCCAGTTTCCTTTCCATTACTATTGGTTTCTATCCAGCAAAGCTTTCATTTAGAATGGAAGGGCAGATAAAGTGCTGCTCAGATAAGATCAAGTTCAAGGAGTTCATCATCACCAAGCCCTTATTATATGAAATGTTAAAGGGACTTACCTAAGAAAAAGAAGATAAAAAAGATGAACAGTGAAAGGACAGCAAACTCACAGTTATTAAGAACCACACCTAAAACAAAAGCAAACTAAGAGGACAGCTAGATCAGGAGCGGAACCATAGAAATGAAGATCACATGGAGGGTTAACAACAGGGAAGTGGGAGAAGGAGAAGGGGGGGAAGGTACAGAAAATAAGTAGCATGAATGGTAGGTAGAAAATAGATAGGGGGAGGGCAAGAATAGTATGGGAAATGTAGAATCTAAAGAACTTGAGACACGTGGTCATGAACTAAAGGGGGGGAATGGTAGGGGAGGAGGTGTGCAGGGTAGAGGGGAATGAAGGGGGGAAATAGAACAACTGTAATGGCATAATTAATAAAATATATTTTAAAAAATAATATATATATCTATGTATATATATACACACTATTCAGAAAGGATAAAATCCAGATTTAACCCTGATCTTCCGGGTTAAGTAATATTGAAGCTCTTGGAATTAAGGTTTTCATTATTTAATTGTTATAGATAAATGAAATATTTATAGAGTCAACTATGGAATTCTGTGATTCTAAAGTCTAATTTCTTATGTAGAAAAAAGGGAAGAAATATTGTCTGATAAGAATTTAAGACATAGAACACTGAATATTCTGGAAAACAAAAGTTCTCTTATCCTCACAGTTTAGTCTCTGAATATTTTATTTCACTAGACAATGCATGGGAAAATCCTATTTTTCAGTATTTTATAAAAAGTGTTCGTTGTGTTCTCTGGCTCTTGGTTAAGGTCCTTTCTCCCAGGTTTGTGGGGACTTAGATGACAATTACAGCCCACAGTTGGATAGTATTTTCCTGTTTAGCATGCTTGTACATATGCGATTCCATTAACTGTTGGAACTGGATTCCACGAGCTATGTGGCATCATTTAACAGCTGAGGAAACTTACTGCATTGATTGCATCTTCAGGCTGATGTACTTGGCATGTGGCGGAAACAGGTAATAAATCCACATCTTCTCATATCCCGGGCACTAAATGAAAAAATTAAGCTGTGTATGCACATAGAAAATAAGTAATTATAAACAAATAGGGAAATTTTTTTACGAATTTCCTCAGCATCACCATTTATGAAGTCTTTGACTGCAGTCAGTGCTAAGGAGAGCAGTAAAGAATGACCTCTCTGGGTGAACTGTGTGGAAAGGAAATTGCTTAAATGTATTTAGAAATAGCTGTTTCCCATTAATTGGCATCTTTTATTCTCTGCATTTCCAGAGCACATGTAGATGCATGAAGAAGAATGATTCTAATAAAAGTAATAGAAAAGAATCATAGTGAAGTACCAAGGAATCCAGTTAAAGACCCCTGCAGCCATAGGCAACCGTTCAGCTCCTCCACTGGTGATTCCTACCACTTAAATGCCTGCAGTCTCTTGACCCTCGGTTTGTTTATTTTTAAAGTGGTATTGATAACCTAATATCAAATAAGAAACATCAATATCAAAGAACCTATGCACTACAATGTTCATAGCAGCACAATTTACAATAGCCAAGAGTTGGAAACAACCAAGGTGCCCATCAGTAAATGAGTGGATCAAAAAAATTGTGGTACATATGCACAATGGAATTCTATACAGCAGAGAGAAAGAAGGAGCTACTACCCTTTGCAACAACATGGATGGAACTGGAAAGCATTATGCCGAGCGAAATAGGCCAGGTGTTGAAAGACAAATACCACAGGAAGCTAAACAACAAAACAAACAAGCAAGCAGAAAAAAAAACAACAAAGACACTGAAATAGAGAACAAGGGGACAGTGACCAGAGGGGAGAGGGAAGGGAAGTTAAGGGGATAAAGGGGGAGCGATTTGGAGAAACAAATAGGAAGGACACAGGGAGGAGAACTAGGGGGGTAGGGATGGGAGGGAGGTGGGGAGCAAGGGGCAGGGGAGGCTGGGATGGGAGAAATAGACAAAAAAACTGTACTTGAAAAATAACTAAATAAAATAAAATAAGAATATAAACAAACTTACATTTAAGCTGGAAAACACTCAAATCATAAATGGCTGTATGGCCACTTTTTGCTCATTTCAAACTGCTGGCTCTCAGCTCACATGAAATGGGGAAGGTAAGAATCTGTGTAGGAGGAGTTAGCAATTTGCCTGATCACTTTTTTATTTAAAAAACTGACACTCTGTGCCTACAAAATGAAGTAAAGCATAGGGAACATAGTTAATAATATTTTAATAACTGTGTGTGGTGTCAGACAGGCACCAGACTTATTCAGGGGATCACTTCCTAAGTTATATAAATGTCTAATCACTCTGTTGATCACCTAAATATAATATAATACAGCATGTCAAGTATAATTGAAAAATAAATTAAAAAACCAATAACTCCCCATTTCTCCTTCCTAATGCCCTTGGCAACCACCATTCTACTTTGTCTGAGCGTTTGACTGCTCTGAGCACCTTATGTAAGTGGGGTCACACAGTGTTTGTCTTTTTGTGACTCGATTGTTTCGCTCAGTATTATGTCCTCATCATTCATTTATATTGTGGCATGTAACAGAAGTTCCTTCCTTTTTGAAGGCAGAATAATATTCCATTGTGTGTATACACTAGATTTTGTTTATTCACCAATCCATTGATGAACACTGGGATTATTTAAACCTCTTGGCTACTGTGAGTAGTGCTGCTTTGAACATGGGTAAATAATTTTCTTTTTGATATTCTGCTTTCAATTTTTTTTGGCATGCAGTGGAATTGATAGATCATATGGTAGTCCTATTTTAAATTTTAAGTTTTTTTGAGAAAATTTTCATATTTTTTTCTCATACCAGTTGCACCATCATTTTTTATTCTGACCACTGATACACAAGAGTTGCAATTTCTTTGCATCCTCACTAACACTTGTTATTTCCTGGCTCTTAGCGTACTTTTCTATAGTAGTTAGTAATAGGTGTGAGGTGTGTTTCACCGAAGTTTTGATTTGCATTTCCCTAATGATTAGTAATATTGAGAATCTTTTCATATACTCATTGGCCATTTGCATATCATCTTTGGAGAAGTATCTGTTCGAGCCCTCTGTGCACTTTTAAGAACATGGACTGCTTCAGGAATTGATGTCATCCTTAGACAGGAGCTGTGTTCATTTTCTCTGTACCTTTCCAATTTTAGCATATGTCTTGCCAAAGCAGGCACATGTAGTTGTTGTTTCTTAATGAGAATTTTCAGTGTTTTATTAACATATTTTCCTCTTCTCAATAAACCATCCCCCACTATGCCCCTATACCCGATGTTTTTGTCCTTCAGAAATACAGAAGGGGATGTGTATTTATTCTTAAAACTTATTTGCTCTTCTCAGGTCATCTGCTCTTTACATTGAGTGATCACAGGTAGTCTTTGTGACTTTTGGTTTTTGTTTTGCTTTGTATTTGCTCACATTCCTAGATTTGTGGCAGAGAATAGTTGTAAGGTCTGGTTTGACTCTGCCACTTTAAACAATCTGATCAAGGTGGAGATGAGTAAGGAGCCATATTTCAACCTCACACCTAAAGGGGACATAAATCTTGCTCTTTTAAAAAAAAATTTAATCAGAAGTTCTTAATTTTCTCGCCATTGATGTTCAAATCATTTATGCTTGCACTTCAACCAACATAAATCATTAACACAAAAGAATAGTAAGCAACCTTTAATCAATATCACTTCCTTCTCCGCGACACTGAGAATGAAAGCATACAATTCGTCATCGATCCTGTCTCACAAACATTCACCCAGGCACTTGTGTCTTTCCAGCACTTACCTTGCTCCAGCGACACTGGCCTTCTTTACGTTTTTAGGGTAAATCAAGTTCATTTCCTCCACTAAAACTTTGCACATCTTGTTCTTTTCATCATTACATCATTTTTATTGAGGTCTTGGCTTAATACACTCTCCTTGGAGAGGCCCTCCTGACCCTTAACCAGTGGTGCTACCTCCCAACAGTTACTTTTTACCATTGCATCCACTTTATTTTCTTCACAGCTCAAATCACTTCTGAAATTATGGTATTAATTATTTTCCTGTGTGTTTGTTTCTCGTCAGCCACCATCACCCACCATTCAAATATATGTCTCATGACTGCCTAGGCCTGTTATTTTGGCTGACCTTCATGTCCTCAGTGACCAGAACAGTGCCTATTAATAGCACATATTTAATAAATACTCATATACATTGAATGAATGCACAGTGACAGTGTCAATCAAGGGTCAGGAAACTCTTTCTGGACAAAGCCATATGGTCTCTGTTGCAACTGCTGAACTTTTCCACGGTAATGCTAAAGCAATCAAGGACAATACAAAAGCGAATTAGCATGACTGTGTTGCAACAATATTTTATTTACAGAAACAGAGGTTGGACTGGATTTGGCCTGTGAACCATGGTGTGCTAACTGCTGGAATAGATCATTTGTTAACAACTGTGGTTTTAGGGCACACCAGGATGTTGATTTATATGCTGGTATTTGCCAGAAAATATGTTAGTAATAATAAAGAGCCAAAGATAAAACTGGATGTGCTTCAAATATATAGACAATAATTCAGGTACAGATTAAGAGAATGTTTCATATTTTCTATATATAATTAGGACTCTTGTTCTCTCAGAGGCTTCAATGGAAAGAGAAATTTTGGCATTGAATATAATGTGTAGGTGAAAGACGGTTGAAATCACCTCTCACGTATAGCAATGGTTCTCACACTTGTGTGCAGCAGAGTCACCAGTCACAGCCTAACTGTACCCACAGGGTTTCTGATCCAGTTCATCTGTGGTAGTGCCCGAGACTTTGTGTTTCTGTGTAGTTCCAAGTGATGCTGATGCTGGTGGGACAGAGGCTAGAAAGTGGAGAGAAAAATGTGTGTTGAGATGTGAGTGAGGGCATGTAGGTGATAGTTGGGGGTTATGAAAATGGTAGGTAGGACACAAACAAAAGGGAATTATCCAGAAGAGTGGTATAAATACAGATTAAAGATCAATTGGTTGTACAGATTAAGGAAAAATAGGAACCATAAAACTATGACATTGTTATCTGGGGAAACTAGGGGAATAGCAATTCATTCGGGATCTGAGCAAATAAGGGATTCAAGGAGGAGGTTTGAAGGAAAGATCGTGAATTCTCATTTGTATGCGCTGTGTTTGCGGGGCTTATATCGATCCAAGTGAGATTGTTTAAGAGGCATGGACAAAGCTCAGAAATGACTTCTGGGACCAAGACATATACTTTTGTTAGCAGTCAGGAGATGGGTGGTCATTGAATGCACAGGGAAATGTGAATTATAACACTTAGTGGCGATGAGGGATGAGAAGAGGAGAAAGTCTCAGGAATTCTCAACTGTACCTGGCTAAGTGCATTTTCTTCTTTAACAGAAGTACCAGACTGATAGTCATATAGCTGCACTTGATTAAGCATGGCATTTGCTAATATATTTTTGATATTATATTGGGTAAAGTGAGCTACTCACTTTGACAGTGTATGGTATTAATACCTGGTTTTATGAATGTAGATAAGGGATATTGACACAAGAGAAAACAATGTGAAGGAGGATGACAGAAAGTATAGCAGCGGCCTCTCCCCTCAGCTGTACCCCCATTGATAGATCTGTCAGGACAGATAAATTGATGCTCTGGACATAAAACTGAAGGAAACATGATGAGTGAGGGAAAGTACATGCTAAGATGGAGTACAAGGTTAGATCTTATCTTACCAGAAGAATTTTTTAAAAAGTAAATCTAGCTTTTCATTTAAAAAATGATAAAAAGGAAGATAAAAAAGAAGGCAGAAAGAATTGAAGAATGTGTGGAACTGCCATATCAATATTAGGACAGGAGACATCAACTCAAATGTTTATATAACCTCATTCAATGTACATGGACCAAATCTTCAGATTAAAAAGCAGAGGACTTCAGACTGCATCAAAATAAAAACCAAGACCAAAACCCTATTACGTCTGTGTGATAGGATGTAAACAAACAAACAAACAAATGATATGGTATGCACATAATAATGATAAGAAAATGTATCAGACAAAGTAGACTTTAGGACAAGGGTTATTATCTAAAATAAAGTGGGCATTCTATAGTGATGAAAACAACACATCACCAGAAAGGTGTGCTAATATTAAACATAAACATACCTAATAGGAGAGTTTCAATACACATATAGCAAAAAATGATCAGTTCAAAAAGAGAAATGGAAAAATCTGCAATTAATCTTGTTCATTTTCACTTTCTCTTTCAGTCATTAGCAGAACAACTAGGTAAACAATTCAGTAAATATATATTAGTCTTAAACAACAGACAGCTTAAACTAGTTGATATTTAGAGAATTTTCTTCTTAAAGATTTAAAGCCACAAGCTTTTGGAGGAAGGGCAACAAACCTCCAAGAGGTCCTTCCACATTTCTGACTTTCTGAAATGTATATCGGAAATGTTTTGGGGGATGATAAACGGCCTTCTGGGGGCCTGTGCACCTTTTGTAGCCCACTTCCTGCCGAGGCCTATGTTCAGACTTACAAAAAAACAATAGAATTTTGAGGTGAGGTTAGTGTCCTCTGGCAACTTAATTTCTTCAAAACCTTATTAATTTTATGACTTATTTACTTCTAGTCAGCTTCATGTATGGGTAGCCACATAAAAAGTTCTTTTTGAAACCATTCTCTGACACCTGTATTACCTTGTTTCCTGGTTTCTCCATATATCTCAACAAAACTTGACAACCTTGAGTAAATGAGGCCTACACAGGAAACATTCTAAACCTAATCACTTTACTGAGACTTTTCACCATGATTTTGTGGGAGAAAAAAACACTTAAAAAATTTCATCTTGATGTTCAGGATCTAGAGTCTGTCAATTTTTCCAATATCACAGGCCTTGTATAGGTGGTCTCTCTTTATCGTTATATTTCTGTTCCTACACTGTTTGTCTCATTTCCTAGTTGCTAAACAGACACATTGACAATCAACACATATTAAAATAACCTTTTTCAACCTCTTTCTCCAGCTTAGTATCATTTGCTCAGTCTTATAAATTACTGCAGGCAAAAGGTATATCAAATATTTTGCATTTAAATGACATGGATAAAGAGCCACGAAATGGTTGTATGTGTTGTCTTGTTGTCTTCCATTCAGTCACTGGGCCAGTGCTACATATTGGAAAATTTTTTGCAATGTCATTCCAGTTCCAGTATCAATTTCAATGTTAATAACAGTAAGTCAGGCTGGCTGCTAAAATAATACAGGATCTTAGTGGCTTTAAATAATTAGGCTACTTAGTGTGCGTGCATGTGTGTGCGTGCACCAACCCGGACACATAGCAGGGAAGGAGGATGTAGAGGGAAGGAGTGGGACAAGGAGAATTGATGCTCCGACCTGTGCTGGTGTCTTTAGAAAGGTGGATTTTAGAGGGCCGATCAAAGCTAAAAACTGGATCCAACTGCTACTTGAACTCTGAACTGCTGCTGCCCACTTAAAGAGCCATTGCCAATGTGCTGCGTACAGGAGCCATACCCCAACCAAGAAGATGCTGATCCCTGCTTCTTCTGTCCCCTGCCCTTCTGGGCACAAGCAGCAAGAAGCCAGCTTACAGTGAGAAATATAACTGTAGATTTCCATACCCGGCATTAGAAATAACTCTAGAGCATGGGTGGATTTTGAGTTGAGCAACTAAGAGATGCAATGTTGTCTGACCCACTGATTGTACAGGTGTGCTTGCCTCTTACCCCAGTTCTGGTAACTGAGAACTAATAATATCAGTTCATAAAATTATATACAGCATTGTAATTGGAAGGTTAGTGATTTCTCAAGTAAAATTCCATGAGTCCAGTCTCTAGCTGGTAACGTGATTAGGACTCTGGTTACACTGGGAGAAAGGTGCTGCATTACTTTGGCCAGCACACACCTTCCCCAACCCTATCTACAACCCCTGGGATGGATTTCACAGTGGGGTCCCAGATTCTGCCATTTTTTTCCCACTGAAAAACCTTGGCTTGGAAAACCGAACACATGTAATTAATTATCTCATTCAAAGTAGCATCTTCCGCTGTTTGGCTTGAAATCGGCTCATCCCATGAGTTGGTTTTGTCCAAATGTCCAATTTCTAGTTTCCTCTCAACAATGGAGTTTCTCAAGAAAGTTCCACATCCAAAAATAATTATATTTTCCAAGCATT